TTTGTCCGGACGTTCCTTTGTCTCCGTTATCCTCTCCGGTGCTGCCGCTGGTTCTTCCCTCTGGTAGTCTACCCGTTTGAACCGCCACGCCTGGTCCTCGGCTGGTTCGGACGGCGGGGTTTGTCCTCCGGCTGGTTCGGACTGCGGGGCTTGTTGTTCTGCCGGTTTGGACGGCAACGATCTTACGTCTGGCGGTTTGGATGGCGGGTTGGTTTTATTAGGTTCCACCGCCTCCCCGACCACCTCCCTTTCGAGAAGTTCGTCGGTTCTTCTTACTCTTATGTACACCCTACAGTCCTCGCGTATTTTAGGCAACTGTCTCGTTCTCGTGCTAGATTCTGGATGCGGTATATGCGGTGTCGCGGATGCGCCTATGCGCCGCGGTAGCGGAATGATCCCGATCTCGTAACTTGAGAGCGGTCTCTAATAATTCGAAGGTCGACTCGCGTCCGTGCGAGTCGACGACGGTGTGATCCTGTAGGATGCGGTGTCGAAGCTACGCTGCACCGGAGCGATGCTTTGATTATACGGAAATGAGTTCGCTACGACTCGATATGGGTGTGATCTCACTCACGTTAAGGTGAAGTCGAGATCCGGTTAGCGGTGTGAAGATCGCGTTAAACGCCCTTCCAATGGTTTGATTCCAAGCCCTTCGGCGGCCGTGAAATCCTGCGGATAACGCTATTCGGAACAGTGTCGGTATCACATATTCGTGAACCGACAGCGGAATGACTCCTGTCGCGTATCCGCGAATGGAAGTCTGCCAGGAGCGGTCTGGTTTAGACAGTTTCGGTGTCACGTATTCGTGCACCGACGGCGGAATGATTCCTGCCGCGTATTCGCGAACGGGAATTCACCAGGAATCGGTTCGAAAAGAGGATTGGATCGTATTCGGATCTTTTGGACTAGCGGAATCTGATTCGGTTCTCTCAGAAGAACGGTGGATCAGAATCTGTCTCGATCTAAGAATTCGCGGCGTTTTATATTTGCGAATCACGTTTGATTCGCTATGTGCCGCGAATGTTCAGCGGTTTCGTTGTTTCTGTTTTGGTGTCCTCTTGTGTTTCGCGGTCGTGTTGTTGTTACGCGGTTCCTAGTAACATCATGCATTTTGGACCGTTACAAAGATCTTTACAAAGAATAAATGTTGCCGGCATATGAAAAAAGTCATCTGATGCTATAAACATTTCAGTAATATTGCCGCATGTTATATGTCAATGGTAATGGACAAAAACATTTCACAATTTGAGATATCCTACGGAATGGAATAAATTTTTTTCCTCGTAAATTTTATGATAACCATCAGTATATAACCATAAAGTATAGATTTTTCTTTGCAAATTTAAAGAGAGGTAGATTTTTTGCAGGGTTTCGACATATCTAAGAGCGCAACGTTGCACGTTGCAAACGCTTCGAAGTCTAAGCACTCAAAGTTACCTATGCATTTTTTTTAAATCTCTTAAGACTGGGAATACAATAGATGTAGTAAGCTTTAAGCATTAAGAAATTAAACAATCCTAATCGACTTTTACAAGAATAGTCATTTGTGAACAAAATATAGTTTTATACTTCCTAAGATATTATGCATATTGCATAAAATATTGCATATAGTTTTTATAAACATAAATTCTAAATTAATTACTTATAGAAAAATATCTTTTTTGTAAATATTTTAAATCACAGCTTTTATGATTAGAACATAAATAAAACAGAAATAAATTATTAACACATATAGAAATCACATAGCATAAGATTTAAAAGATGTCCCAAAGACATCCTGAGGATTGCTAAATGTCAGAATATCCTAAAAATATTCCGAGGATTTCTAAATGATGTCGACACAAGTCCCCAAGATATCTCTTCAAGATCTTATGCTATGAGAGAAGCATCAGATCATGTGGCAATCAAATAAAAATCTTAAAGTTGTGTCAGATATTATATAACATAGAAATACCTCTTAAATAAGCTGCAATATAAGCACCAAAATGATCACATATATCCATTTGCATAGCCTGTTCACGTGATAAATCATTTATAGCAGCAAGTGTTTCTTCCATAATATTTGGTTTTCCACTTTTTTTTCTCCTTATTCACCAATAAATCTTCATCACTTGGATTTAAAGTGGAATGCCTTGTGTTATTGCTTTGTATATTAACTGCACTGGAGTATCCGGATGTAAAACTAGGCCTTGGTGGTATTGCAGATAATTTAGAAAGCATTACTTGTGAGCTTGACGATTGTTGGCCAAGTACAATTTTACTTTCCGTTGCATTTTCAGCATTTTTTTCATATGTTGGGTGTTCTTCAGTATTATTACCCTTTGCTGAAAGATAAATTATTTGCATAACTTATTCTATATTGATACAATATTAATTTTTGTACATATTAAAGTTATACTTACTTTTAACGTCTCATCATAATACACATCACGACAATGCTGGGATATCGGGTTATATTTTCGCGCACCCGCATTGGGCAAACGCTGTGGTAACCTCAGTATTTATTTTAAGGTATCGTAAGATCCTTCACCTAAAAGAAAATATGAAGGGATTGTAGGGAGAAAAGAAAGTTGGTGAGAAGAAACAGAATGCTGTTTATGAGTAAAAATAAATATATTTTTTATTTTGTAATTTCTGCAGCCAACCAATCACACGAATACCAACATCTGTTGTAAGGATAAGGGAAACTGGAGAAAAACCTTACCAGTATTCTTACAAAAAAATTGTACATAACAAATAACATTTTATAATAAATACAGAAAATATAAATACTTATATATTAATTACAATACATATTAATAACATTTATATAAGTAATAATACATATGAAATTTGTAAAACAATTTTTCTAATATATTAGAATTATTTTTCAATGTTAATTGATGACGTTGTTCCTATGAGGCTTCTAGAAAATAATAAAACAATTAATATATGCCACACATGTGTGAGCGTGAGCGCACATGTGTATGTTTAAATTTTTGCCACCAAACATTAAAAAATAAAATAAAATAAAAATGATCACAAAAAATTTATAAAAAAAATTATAAATTAAAAGAAAATGTGGCACTTATGAATGTACTTAGACATGCTATATCATAGTAATAATAAATAAATAATTTACGTAATAAATAAAATAAATAATCTGCGTAATAAATAAAACAAAAAATACTAATGCATCTTAGCATAGTATATCACAGTCATGATCACAGTCATTATTTTCTTGTTTATCTATATATATATATATATATATATATATATATATATATATATATATATATAT